CTAAGGTCGATGACAGTGTCCGTTTGCAGGCAGTTGTCGGGTGTCGGGTTAATTGAAGACGGTGACGTTGAGGATGCTCAAAGTGAGAGATGTTTTATTTTATTTTATTATATTTTCATATTCCTTTTTGTTTTTATCTTTTGTTGATTATTTTGTTGTTAATTTTAATATGATTATTTTTTAAGGTTTATATTATTTCATATTCCAAACATTAAAATGAAAATCTATTTTTATTTACCAGGAGCATAGATGGTGCCTGAACCACCTACGACATTGCTTAGACCGCCTGACCAATCAAGCTGTGACGAACTCAAGAGAGACATGTGGGTGCCGCCTAGCGCTTAAGCGAGCACCTAACACAGCTCTTAGCCTACAAGAATAATCATTATTAGTGAGACTAATTTTAGTGACGACATTAATGTCATGACTATAAAATGATTATTGTGACGACATTCGAACATATAGCGATATTATTAGCGACGGTATTTTTTGTGATGACATTTGAACATATAGCGACAAAAAATTTCGCCACTAAAAATGATTATTCTTCTAGTAAAAAACTACTATTGTGAGTTGGTTCATATATGGTAAGTAAAAACTTCCGACCGGCTGGAAATCAGCTTGCTCGAGTGCTTCCTTGCCGATTGAACGCCTTTAGAGCTGCAACAACTCTCACACCGGAGGGGTTTTTCGGTGCAGAGTCTCCGATGCTTAAATGAGTATGTGTAAAAGATGAACTCTCAAGAGTATATAATAATATGAATGTAATAATCGAAATTGCACATCTCACCCCTATATATAGGGGTGAGGTACATGTTTCTAAAAGGCTGCCCAAACTGCCCGGTCGTACGATACACACTGTAAAGTGTGTCAAAGACGGTTATGCGATGTGGACCAATCAGGCGATGACACGTGTCCTTACCCATTTGGAGATTTTATTCCCCTGAGATCCTCTTTTATCCTGTAGCCTTTTCGTGCTAGAGCGCACCGGGTGATTCGACCATACCTAAGTCGATGGAAGCAGAGTGCTAACTGCTCTGAGTCTAGATTAAGTATCCTTTGGTTGATTGCTCGACCGGCCACTCCTACGGTTCGAATCCCTACCAGGCAATCCGAGGGCCTTAGCTCAATTCGTCTCACTGTCGTAAACCCCTTACGTTGGTCTCCAGGTCGAAGGCTCTTGCTCCTGGGTTGATGATGCTCTACAACCAATAGCTCTACTCTGGTGCCGATCGACCAGGCGGTTCGACCGGCCTAGTCAATCAGTTTGCTTCCTTAGGTATGATATCTCATATCATCTATGATAAATATTTTAAGGTGAAATTCATTTACATTTCGCATTAAATTGGAAATTATTGAATTTTCATTTATTCTTCATATATGACAAATAATTTAAGGTGAAGTTCATTTACATTTACGCATTAAATTGGAAATTATTGAATTTTTATTAATTCTTTTAGTAGTTACACTCATTTAACTACCCGATAATTATAAAGATCCGTTATTTTTCTTTTTTTTCCTTTTTTTCCTGAGAACATTAGCGAATTTTATAGATCAAAAGGCATAAATGTGCAAAGTTACAACCCCTAGCTGAATAGAATAGCCAAAAGCTGAATAAACTGAGAGGACAAGTTAGAAGACCGCCTAAATATGACACTAGCAACTAGAAACAAGAAAAAAAAGACACAATCAGACACTACAAAAACTACTACTAAGCTCCTAACAAGAAAATAAACAGAAAACGATCCCAAAGGGATAATAACAGAGGCCAACAGCCTAAACAAAAAACATAAAACCTAACGAACAAACCAAAAACAACAAAACAAATTAAAATAACTAAACTCAAACAAAACAAGCCCTTACCCAAGCAGCTAGATCAAGCAGAGTCAGCGAAACAGATCGACCCAAAGTGAGTCCCGCAACCAAAGAGGACCAACCCCGAAACTGCCAAAAACCAACTCAGTTGCCTAACAGAGTTGAATCCAAGCCCTGGGACATCAACCAAAACCAACACTCACCACGACCACAACAACCGTATTGTCCCAGAACTGCCACTGGACCGAACCCTCTAACGCCACTAGCAAAGTTCAATAGTGCCCGGCTCGCCCCCCTAAACTCCACGCAAGATCCGTTATTTTTCAATCACGGAAAAAAATGCAATTTTAGTCCACTGTGTTTTTTAGTTTGTAATTTGATAAGTTAACTTTTATTTGTATCAATTTCATCTAAAAATTTTAAATTGAAATGACCGATGATTACTAATATTAAACCTAAAATAAATTGAGGGGTTCTATAGACAGAGAAAGGACGACCGGAACAATAAAACATTCACTAAATTTGAACAAATGATAGGCCGTAAGTTGACAGTCAAAGTGGGTACTTTGGCCAAAAAGGCCTTGCAGGAGCATTAGATTTTCTGGTTCCTCGAGCTATTCCCCATTTATGTATTGTAAGGAGTCTAGTGTTATTTTAACCATTTGGTTAGCCTACGTACTGCTATATTGAATTAATGAATTTCTTTGTTGATTGTTGGAAAAAAAAAAAGTTGGCAGTCAAAGTCGAGAACTATGAATTCGTGAAGGAAATAAATTGCAACTCCGATGTTAGATTTTCATTTATCTTAATCTTTGTCAAAATGTACCACCATTTGAAACTTTGTTAAATAATAAGTTTGATAAGTAACTAGAAATGATCTGACAACTTGGTCTCCAACAGAACACCAATTAAAATTTGTGGTGAAAAATAATATAATAAATTTAAAAAAAAAAAACCTGATGATAGATCGAGTTGAGAGATTTGACTAAGTATATACCAAAAACGAAGATTGCACAAAATTAACATAAAACTAAAAATTATTGTATAAAATTGAAACATAATAAAATTAGACAAAATTGATTAAAAAAAGTTATTGCACAAAATNAACTAACAAAATAACTAGGAGACTAGGACTGATTAAAAGTGGAAACTAAAAATATGATTAATTATGTGGATAACTTGTCACCTTTTGTCAGCACTCAGCGCATACCGAAAAAGGGAATTAGTAGCTGTACTGATATGGCTTTTGCGTGTATGGCTTTGATTTTGTTTCGACAAACTGGATAAACAAAACAAGATAATGTAAAATATATAAAACCAAAAACAAAAGAGTTGTAAAAACTTTTAAAAAAAAGATATTAAATCCTTATGGCTCGCTTTACACGACAACATGTTCTAAACCAGAAGGATGATAGGTTTGCTAGCTCATGAATTATGTTTATTTCTTTTTGGTCCTAAAAAAATCCATCACTCAAAATGTTGATTTCCATAATGAGACCCCAAGTGCAAGGAAGATTTTTTATGATACTTATAATAAATTCTTATATATTTAGCAAGTTGCAAGTCAAAAATTAAAAATAAAAACTAAAAAAATGTCAGAAGTGGGATTTGAACCCACGCCCTCTCACGAGGACCAGAACTTGAGTCTGGCGCCTTAGACCACTCGGCCATCCTGACTTTTATAATACAAAACAGAACTTATTATTTTAATTAATATTATAAAATTCACGTTTCCCTTCGATTGATACACTTGTGTGATTATTTCTCAATACTCTTTTTCCCCTTATCTTTTTGTTATGTTCATCAAAGTGTGAGGTCCAAAAATAGCATATTTGGCTTTTACATGCTTTATTTTTCCAGCATCAGATAATAGCTGCATTCGAAGGGACAAATCACTTTCTTTGTCAATTATTAAAGATATTGTTAACGACTTAATTCCAATCAAATTATTCCACCTCGTGTTTTTTATGAAATTGTAGCCCAAAAGGATTGAACACTTTCAAGGCTTTTCCAAATAATCAATTGCAGAAAAGATGGAGTTGAGATATTATTGTCTTCTCATTTGTCTTCAGGTTTAGGCTCGTATTGAGGTATTAAAGTTTTTTTACATATAGATAATATATTAATATGATTGGAAGAATCAACTGTATTCTGCAATTAACATTACCATACCACATGCATTGTTGTGGATTCAAATCGACACCCTTTCTTTTTATATATAATGGCATTAATCTTATATATAAAGTTGAGCAGTTTTCCAAGCACAACTATGAAGTCATTCATAATTAGTCACAAATAATTTATTGATATGTTTTCTAAAATAAATACAATTAAACAAGTGTTGATTGATACTTTCATTCATCATGGCTACATAAGGAAGCCATTTGCTTGTTCATAGAACTGATATTGATTGGAAATATATATACTTTTCAGTCAATATATAAGAATGTCATTATTGTACATATTCATAGAACGAGAATCTAAATGTCAACAGTAAGGTTGTCATAGACAGACATACTCACTAGACGGTCACATTTTTTTTTCATTAAATCGATATTCATAATTTCCTATGGAATTATTATATATTAGACATAATATAAACAAAAACATAATATTACAAAATAATGAAATATAAATATTTACTTTTATTTAAAAATATGATGGGTGGTGGGTACCCTATCAAAGAATTACTCTTCATAAAAGAATTTTATATTGAATTCATGACAAGCGGCCATATCAATTATTAACAATGCCCAAATGAGAAATGCAGCAATTAAGTTCCTAAAAGCAGGATAAACAACATGTTATACAACAAAAACTACAATAAAATTGACATGAATTATTCAAAGTCGCTGCAAGTTTGTCTTTAGTTTACCAAGTTCAGAACCATACGGTACAAACGCCACAAACGGATCTAAGCCAGGCTGCCAAAGAGGGCTGCACAAGCCTAGCCCAAAATTTATTAGGCCAGGAAATACAAGCAGGCCACGCATGCTAAAATATGCATATTTATTTATCGTAGTTAGCCCTTTTAAGGCCCAATATAAATTTTGATGGCCTTAACATTGGTAATACTTAACCAATTACCATTATTCAACATCGATGATTGTTCAAATTAGAATTCACAATCAGTGTCTGAATTCATCTTTGTGTGTTGTATGGATATTATATAGTTGTGCTGGACTAAATTATTGCATATTTAAATTACATATTTTGTACTGGAAAATTCAATTTCTATCGCAACCACCACAGAATAACAGTCTATTTAAACAATCAATCATAACTCAAAACGAGATTTTGGTAACAGCTCAAGCAAAGTCAAATCCATTAGTCCTGAGATCATAACATACCATTAGCTCAAGACACGAAATTACTCAGGTAAGTTACACTTCATTAATGGTTCCAAGTGAGAAGGACAAAAAGACAAAACATAAAAATAAAAATTAAAATGCAGCTGTTCGAGGGACGAACAAAGTTCTACATCTTGGAAAACGCTCATTAAACCATATCCCTAAGAAAGGAGGAAAAAGCAACGTCCCGAAACTCTTCAACTTTAACCTTTTGCACCTCAAACGTAACACAATCCAACATATCTAAACTCTAACCTACACGACATGAAGAATTCACTCGGCAGAGAATCTCCCCTTGCAAATTACAACTCATCCTTCAAGTTCTCTTCAGGTGCTGTTTCCTCAGCCTTAGTAGACGAAGAAGACGAGTCAGTTTCCTTTGTCTCGACTTCTTCCACGTCATCTTCTTCCTCAACCGAGGCATCCGGGCTGATGTTAAGGCTGTTTTTCACCGAGCTGTAGATTCTAGAAGCAAAGTCCTTTGGATCACTTAGCACAAACCCGCTCTCCATAAGTGCCGTCTGGTACATGAGCTGTGCTGTTTGCTTCACGCTCTCATCCTGATCGATAATAATTACACAATTATAGTTCCAATTTACAGAAAAGAATCATAAAATATGCATCTTTAGTCCGGTTGGTTTGACACCACAACAATTTTAGTCTCAAAGTTCCAACTTTTCAACTTTTAGACCCCTGTGATTTAATATTTTATTGCAATTGCTACTCAAAAAATCCGAGAATTTGAGATTTTTTTGCATTTTCAGTCCTCAAATGACCAAAATCTTAAATCAAGGACAAAAAGGCAAAATGTTGAAATTTTTAGACTAAAATTACTATGGCGTTATCAGGACTAAATTGCAATTTTGCCAAAAAAAAATTGCATATATATATATATATATATATATACATATATATATTTTAATTTTGGTTACCTCCGAGTCCTTGACGACCCTTTCGCGGAGCTCCTTGATGATGGGGTGCCTGGGGTTGATCTCGAGCACACGCTTCCCGCGCATGTAAGCTTGTTTGCTGGCATCCGAGAGGGTCTGAGACTGCATGATCCTCTCCATGTTGGCACTCCAGCCGAATTTTGAAGTCACGACCACACAAGGAGTGTCGGCCAAACGGTTGCTTATCTTGACATCATCGACATTTTCACTTGCAAGGGCACCCTTCCACCATTTGGTCAGCTCCTTAAACTCCTCCTTGAGCTCCTTGTCCTTGGAGTCCTTCCCAATTTTCAGGCCTTCTTTGGACACGTTCTGGAATTTCTTGTCCTCATAGTCCATCAAGTACTGCATAAGGTACTCGTCCACAGGGTCGGTGAAGAAGATCACCTGTGCAAGCGAGGAAAAAAAAAAAGAAGTTTAATGTGCATTCATTTTTTTTACATGAAAAAAATAATGAGGGTAATGAAAAGATGACGTGATTAATTAGAAAGATAGCAGTTGAATGCTTACTTCGTAACCCTTCTTGGTTAGTCGCTCGAGGAATGGGGATTTCTCAAGCTGTTCCTTGCTTGTTCCAGTGATGTAGAAGATGTCCTTCTGTCCGGATTTCATTCTCGAGATGTATTGGTCCAGTGAAGTTAGCTTACCATCTGATTTAGAGCTGCAGGAGGGAAAATCATCAAAAGAACGTGTTAGTTGACTATAAATTATTGCTTAATTGATGAGGCATGCTAAATGTTTTATTTTGAAAATTTACATACGTCTCAAAACGGAGAAGTTTAGCCAGGCGGTTCCTGTTGGTGGCGTCCTCGATGATACCAAGCTTAATCGACTTGCCAAATTCATTCCAGAATTTTGCGTACTGACCCTTCTTCTCGTTGCTGTCACTGGATTCTTCAACTTCTGCAGGTATAAGAAGTTTCAGAATTATTTCAAGTCTATTTTTTCTTGATGGTCCAGTTAGGCGGGTCGGGCAGATAACACAAAAATATATAGCAACATAATTCTAATTCCCATAACCAAATATGTCAAACAGCGTTCTAACAGTTACTCAACACAGAGAGAAAAATAATCTTTGTTTAACTTTTTTTATTTAAAATGTTCAAAGCAAATACAGAATTGTACCTTTCTTATCATTATCATTAGATTCATCAGGATCCTCATCAGCAAGCCTCCTGATCATATCAAGCGCCTTGCGGATAAGTTTCTTCTTGATAGTTTTCAAACTGCTGTGTTGTTGGAGCATTTCTCTTGACACATTCAGTGGCAAAGTGTCAGAATCAACAAGGCCCTGATCAACATAGGCAAAATAGTAAGAATGCAATCCTAAGTCCAAGAAAGGAGCATATTTGCTTCAGGATAGAAACAAAGATTACCATCAAAAAGTTCAGATACTTAGGAAGAAGCTCATCAAATTCATCCGAGATGAAGACCCTTCTGACATATAATTTCAAGTTGGATTTGTTCGAGTTGTAGTAGCTCTCATACAAATCATGAGGAGCCTTGGGAGGCACAAACAACACAGCCTTGAACTCAACATCACCTTCAGCTGTAAAGTGGCTCCAAGCTAGCGGCTTCTCGTCACCAAAGTCCTGTGAAGGAGCATAAAGTTTTAATTAAGAAATAATAAAATATAACCCAAAAGAAGGATAGGGAAGTCTGCAGTGACAACATGAAACGCAATAAACAAGACACAGCTCATACCTTGGCCAGAGAGTGATAGAATTTGGTGTATTCTTCATCTGTCACCTCCCTTGGGTTCCTTAGCCATATAGCTTTCATGTCATTCAGAAGTTCCCACTCGTATGTAGTTTTCTTAACAGTCTTAGTCTTGGGTTTTTTCTCTTCCTCTTCTTTCTCAGCATCTTCTTCCTCGTCTTCCTCAGAAGATTTGCTTTCAGCTGTTCATGCCACAGAGTACTTTCCAGTATTAGATAAAATATACAAACTTAATGCCATAATATGAATAATTCGATAAAGATATCAGATATATCATACGTACTTGACTCATCATCACTGGAATCATCTTCATCAGCAGGAACCTCCTCATCTACTTCTTTACTGGCCCAAAGGTATATGGGGAAGTTAATAAACTCAGAATACTTCTTCACCAAATCCTGTATCAAGGTTATTTTGAGAAGTAAGATCATTATTCTCAAAGAAACACATTACAGTGAGATAAATCACTAAACCCAGCAGTAAGGTTCGTGTTCAAACATTGATGTCAGATACCAGATTATAACTCAGATAATGGCTGTCTCAAGAATAAAATGCCATAAAATCAATGGTAACACTCATTCATTGTGGATACGCCCAAATATGTTAATTACTCGCAAGTCGCGACCATCATCGGTTCTTCCAATCATTTTCCATGTTAAGTACCCCTGACCCATTTCATTAACCAAATCCACTGTGCATGTAACTCCCCAATAACAATTCCTATGATGCAGTTTTGATGAATGATTCATCCTTAGATTGAAAAATTAAGCAAGACGACAAAAATGATTACAAATATTATAAAAACAGATACCCAGAAGGCATATAGAAGGCAGTCTGAAATTTTGCATGCCAATTTCAGAATTGCACGCCACAAAGTACAATCTGACCAGTACAATGAGAAGAACATGGAGATACCAAAAGTATAATAGGAGAGAAAACATTGTGAAAATATCATCACCACAATACATTATACACATAGACATGATATCCAAATCATCGATCATGGCCAATAATAACTACATCCAATAACTGAATATATTTATAATTTATATGCAGCAATTATTTGAGCATTAAAAGAATTAACAAGCAACAAACCTTCAATTTAAACTCATCCAAGTATTCTTGTGCTTCGTCTCTGAGATGCAATCTGATTTCAGTTCCACGACCAAGAGGCTCGTTCCATGTATCTTCAGAAATAGCAAAAGCTCCATCAGCCTTTGACTCCCACACATGCCTGAAAGTGGTCACAATTTGGTCACAATTTTAGAAATTACTATAAGTAAATACTTTGTATAGAAACATTATAAAAGATGATGGTGTATAAATAGGTTAAAGAGGATCAAAGACATACTGTTTGTCATCATTATGTTTGCTAATCACTTCTACATAGTCGGCCACAAGATATACCGAGTAGAATCCAACACCAAATTGCCCAATCAAGTTAAGATCACCACTTGTCTGCATTTTTTCCACAAATGCTGCAGACAACATATTATAAATAATTAGCAACCATTCTTACCTACCCATCAACAAAAAATCGACAACATTTCGCATCAGAACAGTTAATTATTACCAGAAGTCCCAGATTTAGCAATGGTGCCAAGGTTCTTGATCAAGTCCTCTTTTGTCATTCCTATACCTCTATCTCGAATGGAAAGTATCTTCTTTTCTTTGTCTAATTTAATCTGTAGTCACCAAATAGTAAATTCAAATTCAGAGACCAGAAGAAAGTATCTTCTTTTATGTGTCTAATTTAATCTGTAGTCACCGAATAGTAAATTCAGAGACCAGAAGATTCACTAAATTTCAGACACAATGCATTTTGTGGTAATTTTCCAATCTGCAGGATTATTCAAGACCTCACTATAGCAGACAGTGTATGGACTGAATATGTAAAGTTCCACGTGGTAATTTTCCAATCTGCAGGATTATTCAAGACCTCACTACAGCAGACAGTGTATGGACTGAATATGTAAAGTTCCACGGAGAGTCATTGTACATTCAAATACATTACATGGTCTATTCTTTTCAAATATAATCACCAAAAAAAATCTTCCACGCAATTTTAGATAGTTCATAGTAATGGAATATTCAGCAAAATAATTAAGTTGTAAATACAAACCTGAATCTCCAGCTTGGTATTGTCACCTTCACCCAAAATCTCCTTGTCAGTGAGTGACAGGAACCTGATCTTGTCAAGTGCCTGAATTTAAGCAAAATTCAACTTTCAATCTCTTGATCAGAAACAAAAATAAATCTTGAACATTAACAGCACACGAAAAACTCACATCCGAGGCATTCGAGATCAACTCTCTCAAGAAAATATCCTTGTTACTATAAAGAGAGTTGATGATAATGTCCATGAGTCGTGACACCTCAGCCTGGAACTCAAACTTCTGCGCGTTCGAGCGCAGACCTTTTCTCGACATTGACTCAGCTTCTCTATATCACAAAACCAAACTCAATAAACATAAACTTCCATACACCACAACACTTTGAATGTACATAAACTGGAAAAAAATCAAATCACCTCCTGACGACATCAGAATCGGTAGATAATCCATGAGGAACAGCACCAATTGTCTCCTCCACCTTCGGCGGATCTACTGGAGCACCTGATTCCTCCGCATTCGCCTGTATCTTACGACCTAAACAACACAATTTCGCCGCCGTTAACTCCAAACAATTAGCAAATCCAACACATTCAAGCCGAAATACACAACATTCAACACTAAATCAAACACAATCAATGAGCCATTACTAAAAAAAAATGAAAAGAAAAAAAGAAACTAGAAATGATTTCACCGTAAAGGTAACTCCAAATCATCACAAAATTCGATACATACGAACCAAAATTCACAGCATTCATCACTAAATCAAGCATAATCAACGAACCATTACTCGAAATAAGGGGGAAAAAAGAAGGTTACAAACTATAATTGATTTCGCCATGAAATTACCTTGATCTGGAAGAAGAAACAGAAGGCATAACAGAAAGAGAACGGACGGGATCGTCCACTTCCTCATTGATCGAATTGAAGCAGCCAAAAATTCTTGAGCTCAGATTTTGTGAAGTCGAATATTGTTTCCTATATCTGAGCGTGAGTGATTGGAGAGTGGTTATATACTGAGATTTTTGCACGAAATAACGAATAATGACACGGGAGGAGGCGTTCTATTGGTTGGGATTTGACAGCGTGGATAATCTGACGGTGATAAGGAGTTTAGTGACACGTGGGATGTTCTTATTGGTTGTGCCTGCTTATTAGACGTGGTAGGCTGTGGGGTTCTGGAATTCTCCAAGGGGGATCTGTAGGCTAACATTATGAACCTGCAAGAATAATTTATATATTTGGTAACAAAAAAATACATTATAGCTATTTATTATTTTTATATAATTAATATTGTTAAAATTATACTAATTTCTATTATGTATTTACATGATAATTGTTCATTAATCACTATTATATTTTCTTTATACTATTATTAAAATTAACAATTCAAACATGATTTCGGAATCCACTCGCACTTGGCAAAGTATATTGTAAAGTATACATATACATATGTGAGATGCAAATAATGCTGATTAATTTAATACAAGAATATAAAATAATGGATTTTTTTTTTTTCAGAATGATAGGAATTTTACAACTAGAACACATATTTATAACTAGAAGACGACCAGAAGTCGAATCTAGTGGAGGACATCCGAGAATGAGCCTAAACATTCCTTCTAAATATGTTCATTCTTAGATTTTGCCTTACGATTTTTTTATTTTATTTGTCATATTTTCTCCCAAAGTTCAGGAAATTGAGCCTCATTTGTTAATAACTCTAACAATTTAACAATAGTTTTGAATCGAACTAAAAAATTGATTTAGAGCTTTTGAAGCCCAGATTGAAACAAACAAAATGAGGTATGGTTTATCAATTTCTAAAAAATAATATGTCAATAGTAGATCAATGAAAAGAGTAGGAAGATGTATATATAGAAAATAAGTCATTTTAACTTCTTTTTTTTATAATCAATATATCAAATTTTTTATTGTGACGTGACAGTGTGTATAGAAAAGAAGTCATTTTAACTTGTTTTTTATAATTAATATATCAATTTTTTTTATTGTGTGTATCATTTAAAAAGCTTATAGGACGAGTTTTCTAACTACGTAGATCTTATGGAACTCCAACAATCGGATATTAAATCTGTAGTCAAGCAAATTGACAAATATTTAGTTTTTTTAGATCGTTGGATTTTTTATTTTTTTTTTTTTGATTTCCCTCATTAAACAACTCGTCACTTATCAATCAAAATTTTCTGATATCTTGATTATCAAAAAAGTTGAACCAAAGTTTTTTCTACATACACGTGCTCCTACATTCTTCATCGATTGATTACCGACGTATCAACTTTTAGTAATCGATAAACCATGCATCATTTTGTTTGTCTCGCAAGAATCCTAGAGTAATTTTAAAGATCGACTCAAAATTTATAGTTAATTGAGTTAAAATCTTTTTTGTGTCATGTTATAATTTTTAATAGAGGAGGCAAATTTGTCAATTTGTGTACTTTGGGAGATAATATGTCAAAGAAAATAATTTGTAAGGTTGTCCAAAAATATGCATACTTTGCGAGGTAAAAAAAAAAAGTCCCTATAATAATTTACTAGTACAATACCCATGTATTACACGGGTGTTGAATTAGAAAACTTTTGTAAAAAATATTAAATTTTTTATTTTTTTTTAAAACTAAAATAAATTAATTTTATATAAAACATTACTTTGGGTTTTAATTAAATTGTCAAATTATATTTTTTTAATCATAATAATTAAACACCCATACATTAGATGAAAATGTCAACCGTGTTGAATTTTTTTACTTATATCACATAAAAATATCGAAATTATTTACTATTACATAAGTACAAAAATATATATCTTAAATAAATAGAAATAATATGGTGATATGTATATGCATAAGTGTAGAATATGTTTATTTAATATTAAACAAAATAGATTAATTTTCTTACTTAATTAGATGTCTAATACATCAAGTGTCGTATCAGTCGTGCTTCACATTTTTTAACTTTACATATAAGTTTAGAATTTATATAAATAATTATTTATTTTTATTACATTGAAAACATACCAATTAGATTTGAAATAAATATTATTTTTAAAAAATGTATACTAATTTCTATTACTTTATAATATAATTTATAGTTTTATTTGATATAATTGAATTTAGTTTGATAAATAAATTTAAATTTTATTCATAAGGCTATATATTACTGTTTTGTATTATATATATATAAATAAATAGTAAAATACAAACGGACTTCATAATATCAATTTAGATGCAGCACACTAATAAAGATTTTTTTTTCTTGACAATATTAACCGTATTAATGGATGTTATGAGAAACGATGGGATTTGAAGAGACACTGTGTATTGGATGGAGCGTTAAAAATGAAAAAATATGAACAAAATAATTTTTTATCATTATAAAAATAAATATAATTTATTTATTTTATATATACAATATAGATGTCAAATCGAAGCTCATCAAAAGATGATTAATTTGATATATTATATATGTAAAACCGATAAGAAATACAAAAGTAATCAACTTTTAAAATATATTTTCAATTCAATTGTTATAATAGGAAACAATATTAAAATATAATTAATATAAATATTAATTTATATTCAAGTTTAACTCCAAATCATGATTTTTTGTCAAATATGTTTCCGAAGCATGAGAGTTTGTCACATAAGCTCAGCGCATTCTGAAATTATATATAGAAGGGATGCGCATTCTGAAATTATATATAGAGGGGATTAGTAGTTGAAAAATATGTTCATATAATATAAAATAATGCTTGTAAACCAAATTTATGGTTGTAAACATCTTTTTTAAACATATTTCAGATGACTGTGAAATAACGCACATTGTTGTTAAGAGGACGACAACATGCTGGATTGTGAACAACAAAGTATGATAAATCATAAAACTTTAGGTGCAAATGAAAGTATACAATTCTGATTGTTAAATAAAATATAATAATTAAAATTAATGGAATATAAATTAATAATCTACTTAATGTAAGCGGTTGTTACTAAAACTATGCAAATGAGTGAACAATGATTTTAGCTGAAAATGTGAAATGACAATTATTTTTATTTTTTTATCATATTGGCAAAATTGAAGAGAACAACGTATAAATGCATTTGGCAATATATTTCACTAAATGTTTATATTTAATATTATTTAATAAAAAAATATCCAACACTACAAAAAATCATCTACTTGTATATATATGCAAAGTATATCGTCCATGCATACTATTGCAGGGTTTCCCGCGTCGTCTCTCAAGGAATACTAGCTTGATTAAATTATATGTGAATTCTAATACAAGATAATTAAACAGTTTTCTGAACACTTTTCACCAACAATGATAAATTATATTTTGTATTATTTACTATTATATATTATATATTTTACTGTAATAACGTATCTTCATGCAACAGTTATCATACCTCTCTCGCGAAAAAAAAACAAGAAAAGAAAAGAAAAGAAAAAACCCTAAGCCCCAATTTCGCCGGTGCCTTCCTCAAATTCTTGGTCGTTTTGCCTTCCTCGGCGACGCCGAGACTCCGACCAGTAGTTGCCCTTGACTGCTCGGCCCATCCATGTTGTTGCGCGCCTCTAATTTTGCGGCTACTGGCGGATTACGGTGGTGTCACCCCACGGCCGACTTCGCTAATGCGGGGCTTGTGGGCTCTGGTCCCCGATTCCGTGTCTACGGTGGTGTTTGGTCGGGGTGTGGGCCAGTGGGTGGGGCGTGGCTCCGACGGCGGCGATGTCTTGCATCGGCGCGGTCGGAGTTGAGGGACCAAGTTGTTTTCCCTTCCTTGGTTCTCTGGTGTTGGGGACGGAGGGGGGACCGGGACTTCTGAGCTTGGCTAGTAGTGTTAGACGAGCTTGGGTTGTGCCAGTGTTGGGAGTCGGTTGTGGTTCCTCCGATTGGGGGCTGGCCGATTTTGGATTTGGTTCCGGGTTCGGGTTCGGGTTCAGCTTCTATTTAGGCAGTTCGGCAGTTTCGGAAGTGGTTCCTCGGGCTTAGGATCTTTCTTAGAGTCGATTGTTGTTCTGCTGGTTCGGCCCGTTTGTTATGCTGGGGAAGGGCTTGTCTGTTGATTATATAGTTTTTTATGTTTTCGTCCATTGTGTTGGTTGTGTTAGTGTTGTTTCCGTCTTGCGTTTTTGGTTTGTGCCGTTGGCCTCTGTTTGCCCGACTGTGTGCGGGTATTATCCCTTTGGGATCATTTCTATTCTCCTATTGAGATTTCTGTAGTTTTTTATTAGTGTTTGTCGTATTGGTCGTGCCTTGAGTCTTATTTTGGTTTCTAGCGTTGCTGGTGTCAGATTTAGGCGGTCTTCTGACATGTCCTCCCAGTTTATTCAGTTGTTGGTTGTCTTATTCAACTAGGGGTTTTATATTTGCATATTTGTGCATTTTGATTTATAAAAATCTCTATCGTCCTGGAAAAAAAAAAAAAAACGTATCTCCATGCATCGCACAAGATAGATTATAGTATTAATTAGAATAATTTGACAAAAAATGTGGAGCAGCTAGGAGTCGAGGTAATCATTTCCACCCTTAAATTCACAATTCACACCTTTTGATGCTCGGTTAGATAACATAATAACTCTCGCATCTAGAGTTTTATACTGAGTAACTATCTGTAACAAGATCATAAACTACATAAACGATATATTCATTCAATCGAATAATACATAGACAATGCTCTACGAATATATCTATGTTATGCATGTCCCGGTCGAGCAATTCATTCCGTTCCAATTTTTGGATTATTTAACTGGATTATACGGTGATCATCGACTAATCTTAATATTCATTCAACATGCATAAGTTAATCAATCAACAATTTAAATTATACCAGAAATCGAGAATGATTACCCCATATCCCCACTCCTTGTAGAATAAATGAGCTCATAATTCTGAAAATGGTTCCACAACTTAGAACAAAAGTATAGTACATATTCATAGATGAAATGAAAAGAAGAACTTATAATTACTCAAGAGTTGATAATCAATCCAATTACAAACCCAAAGCTAGAAATCAAATTTTGGAGTGTCACTCTCTAAATAAAAATGGAAGGGGTACTCAAAAGCTGACAAAAAAAACATGAGAATCCCCCAAATGATTTGGTACAAATTATAATTTTTTAAATGGATTAAAACCACTCAAAAAAATTGTCCACGTGCAAGTAATTAAAGGTTGCTCGTCGACCGTCACGCCTGACAAGGGTCACGAGGTGCAATGGGCATGTAGCACACGTCATGCGTGCAACGCCGAGCGAGGGCGCGAGGTTTGGCGCCAGTCGTATGTGTTGACGGCGTCAAGTGCCTTGCAATTGGGCGTGGCAGCATATCGTGTGCGCGGCTTTGTGTTCTGTCATAGTTCGCGTCTCCTGTAGCTCGGTTAGGCAAGTCTCCGACTGTGACTGTGTGGATCACCTATCCAACAACAACGTTCGACACACAATTCGGCTAGCTGAGTGTGATAATAGCTTTGACAAATAGATACATGAAGTGAGTACGCACAACCGATAGGATAGCCTGCTTTGGTTTTGGATTGAACGCTCTTCCTATAGTGATCGGACTCTTAACGAACAACTTGAACCCCCGCATCATCACCACACAAGAAAAACAAACAAAACAGGGAAAAAATTATAAATTTACTATATTGATATACTATATTGAAAAGCATTAGTAGATAATGTGAGTTAAAAAATGAGTATAACTTTGGACAAATTGTCATGCTATCTATTACTATATAATACAGTTAAGAAAAACTATTCAAACAATTCGAAAAAAAAATAATTCATTTTGCCGCTCAAATCGTTTTTTCCCCCTAAAATTTTATTTGAATTTTTTACATGCACGTTTTCATTATTTTGGATGAGATCTCTTACATATCAGATAAACTCCACTTCCTTTTGATTTGCCAAATCCGATTTTTATGTCGCAAAATACGTTTTTGAATTTTTGGAAAAAGAATTTGATTCAAATATTTAAAGAAAAAATCATATATAACATTCAGATCAGATTTTATTGGGATACATTCCTTATTTTCCATTCTATATAACAACACTATTATCTTTGACAAATACTGAATATCTTTTTTTTCCTCTTTCTCTTTCCCATCGCCCTCTTTTTTATTCCTTCTTTCTCATGAAATATTCTCCACCTCAAACCTTCATAAACGAAGACAGTATCGATCTCCGATCTAACCTCGGCAAGAAGGTCATCATCCTCGCCGTCCTCGACATGTTCACCCCCACATGCTTGCAGAAGCATCTCCTGGGGTTCGTGGAGAAAGCTGTCGAGTTCAAGGCCAAGAGAAATGACGACATCGTGTGCGTTTCCGTGAACAACGCCTTCGTGATGAAGGCGTGGAAGGCGAATCTGAAGATCGGGGATGAGGTGCTTCTGCTGACCGACGACAATGGACGATTTACTCGGTGATTGGGTGCCAGTTCGATTTGAGCGACAAGCCGGCGGGCTTGGAGTTTCGATCGAAGAGGTACACCATGTATGTTGAGGATGTAGTCTTGAAGGTTCTCAATGCCCTTTGATATTGTTTGGTCTGTCTCTCTTCCTTTAATAATAAATTGTAGAATGATTCAAGAAGATGAAAATGCCTAATTTGGAGTACTAATTAAGTGGTTGAGATTTTGAGATTGGGAGTTCGTGTTGTGCTTTATGTTGTGGCTAGCAGTGTTACTGAAATTTTATGTTGGGGATGATAGAGATTTTTTTTTTTTTTTCCTTTTA